GGAAATCAGACAGAACGTTCATATGTGGAATATCGACAGAGAAGGTCAATACTGATTAAAGGGAGGAGTTACCCACATGGAAGAAAAATATATTTTTAAATAATATTTTTAAAAATACATTCTTAATATATTCTTCCCAAATATATTGACCTATATTTCAAATACTACAATTTTGGCCGTATTCAATATATTTCAAAAATATATTTTGATATATTTGTGAATATATTATTAAAAATATATTCAGAACACACGCTGCGATATATATCAAAGTGTCATTTGGAATGCATTTACAAGTATATTTAAAAAAAATCTCTGTTTAAATGCATTTTTTTAGAGGTTCAAAAATATTTGGAAAATATATTTTGAAATATATATTTTTAAATATAGGTCTTTAGAAAATATATTTTAATTTACATTTTTCGGAACACGTGTTAAAATATATTCGCGTAGGCCAATATATTGTAAATATAGGTCGCATGTATAATTTTATTTTTTTTTCTAAATATATTGAAGATATATTTTTTTTCCGTATGGGTACCCTTGTCGGCCATGTTCAATAATGCGAAGAGTCCGTTGGTAAGAGCAGAAATCTGGAACAAATGGAAGAAATCTCTGGCCAGGATGCCCTCAACGGTCAAGTGGACATTTATATTTTTACACACACAAGCCATCGCTGATTCATAGAATTCCATTTATAATAAATATGTCATTTAATAATTGTAATTAGAATTTGTAATTAAATTTAGTTGTAATTAAACTTTGCAAATTATAAGTTGTTGAATTTGTTTTTTTTTAAGTTTCCCATATTTAACCACTTCAAATCCGAACACTTTCCCCCCCCCCTTCCAGTCCAGGCAAATTTTCAGCTTTCAGCGCTGTCGCACTTTCAATGACAATTGTGCGGTCATGCAACACTCTACCCATATGAATTTTTTAGCATTTTTTTGAGACAGATAAAACTTTATTTTGGTGGTATTTATTCATCACTGGAATTTTTTTATTTTTTTGCTAAATAAATGAAATGTCCATAAAGGCTATAAAAGCAATCATTTCTCCTTCTCACCGCTGGGATTTTTTTTTTTTTTTTGCTATATAAATGAAAAAAAAAGTCCAAACATTTTGAAAAAAAAGATGTTTTTCTTATAAAATTTTGCAAATAAATAATCTTTCTTCATAAATTTTGGCCAAAATGTAATCAGTTATCTTTTTAGTAAAAAAAAAAAAATAACCTGAATTAGTTTATGACCAAAAATTATATTCTTTCAAAAACATTTTTTTACATTTTTATTTTTTTTTTTTATATTATTATTTATGTTGTTTTTTTTAAACTGTAATTTTTTAAATTTGTCTTTGACTTTTGCTAGAATTTTCTCTTGTCCCCTTTTGGTTGTAAAAGAAAAAAAAAAAGTTATAACGAAATTAACGGACGCATTTGTTTCCTTCGGATGATGTCATGTGATGCGATAATAGTTTGGGCAAACGGGGAAATTAAATGGGGCTCACTTACCTGAGCCCCATCGTGATCCAGAATCGGCTGTCCCGGGTCTCTGCCTCCTCATTGGCTGAGACAGCGAGCAGGAGTCATTGGCTCCAGCTGCTTTCAATCACAGCCAGTCAGCCAATAAGGAGAGGGGCTGGGCCAAGCAGCGGCTCCGTGTGTGAATGGACACAGGGAGCAGCGGGTGCCCCTATAACAAGATGCTTGCTATGGGGGCACCCGGTTGGAGCAAGGGGACAGGAGAGCCTGAGGGAGACCCGAGAAGAGGAGGATCCAGTGCTCTGTGCAAACCACAGACTTGAAGTGTTACTAAACCCCGGACCCCGCATTCACTGTATCTGCTCTCCCCGGACCCCGCATTCGCTATATCCGGTCTCCCTCCCCGGACCCCGCATTCGCTATATCCGCTCTCCCTCCCCGACCCCGCATTCACTAATCCGCTCTCCCCGGACCCCGCATTCACTATATCCGCTCTCCCCGGACCCCGCGTTCACTATATCCGCTCTCCCCGGACCCCGCGTTCACTATATCCGCTCTCCCCGGACCCCGCGTTCACTGTATCGCTATGTATCCGCTCTCCCCGGACCCCGCATTCACTGTATCCGCTCTCCCCGGACCCCGCGTTCACTGTATCCGCTCTCCCCGGACCCCGCGTTCACTGTATCCGCTCTCCCCGGACCCCGCGTTCACTGTATCCGCTCTCCCCGGACCCCGGACCCCTCTCCCCGGACCCGTTCACTATCCGCTCTCCCCGGACCCCGCATTCACCCCGCTCTCCCCGGACCCCCCCGCGGACCCCGCATTCACTATATCTGCTCTCCCCGGACCCCGCATCACTGTATCCACTCTCCCCGACACCGCGTTCACTGTATCCGCTCTCCCCGGACCCCGCGTTCACTGTATCCGCTCTCCCCGGACCCCGCATTCACTGTATCCGCTCTCCCCGGACCCCGCGTTCACTGTATCCGCTCTCCCCGGACCCCGCGTTCACTGTATCCGCTCTCCCCGGACCCCGCATTTACTGTATCCGCTCACCCCGGACCCCGCATTTACTGTATCCGCTCTCCCCGGACCCCGCATTCACTGTATCCGGTCTCCCTGATATACAGACATACAATATATTTGAAATGTATTTTTAAAAACATTTTTTATATATTTTGTAATAAAGACACTTTTCCACACGCAGTATATATATATATTTATTGAGATGTATTGAACACATTGTAGCATTTCAAGTATATTTTCCTTTCCTGGGGGTACCACGATGAGTTTTTTTTCTTGCAGACATTTTATCGGCGGTCACTTTATACAATCCAAATAAAAGAAAGTTTTTGCAAGCTTCATTTTTATTTTATTGCGTCATTTTTATAAAATTTTCGCTTCTCCGGTAATGACAGAAATTGTAAAATGGGAGATTTTAGGAGATTTTTGTACAGGTGGGAAGGAGAAGAGGGACCCATTGGATCACGCGGGTGGAGGCTGACTTGACGCGGCAGGCAGACCGGGGACTTGTGCCTCGCTGTAAACACAAAGAAAATTTAAAAAAAATACAAATAAAAAAAAAAATAAAATAAATATAAAATAAAATTTAAAAAAAAAAAAAAAAAAAAAAGAAACATTCCCTTCAATTTTTTTTTTTCAATGCTCACTATGGGGTTGTTTTACTAAAGGCCAATAGACTGTGCACTTTGCAAGTGCAGTTGCTCCGGAGCTTAGTAAATGAGGTAAAGCTTCACTTTACAAAGAACACCCAATCGCATGCAAGGAAAAAATAAAAAAAGGCATTTTTGCTTGCATATGATTGGATGATGGAAGTCCCCGTCATTTACTAAGCTCCGGAGCAACTGCACTTGCAAAGTGCACAGTCTATTGGCTTTTAGTAAATGAGCCCCGCGGCGTATTACTTACTTTATCCCTGTGGTTGGTCTCCTCTTTTGATCGGGACCTTTCCCGATAATGTGACCGCCATGACAGTGTGTCACGGCGGTCACATGACCCTAAACCCCGCCCCGACTCCCGGCTTCTGAAACCCTTAAAAGGCCGTAAGGCGCCAAGTGGTTAACGAAGACTGCCAGGGCCAGGAATGAGTTATTACCAAGGCATTTTTTTCAGCAGCAACCCACATGGAAGAAAAATATATTTGAAATATATTGAATGAGTTTGCTAGCTCTCACGTGGATTCACTGAGCCATGGGGAGCAGAAAAGAACTGTCAAAAGACCTGTGTAAGGAGGTAATGGAACTGTATAAAGATGGAAAAGGATATAAAAAGATATCCAAAGCCTTGACTATGCCAGTCAGTACTGTTCAATCACTTATTATCCACATGGAAGAAAAATATATTTGAAATATATTCAATGAGTTTGTTAGCTCTTACTTACTGGATTCACTGTGCCATGGGGAGCAGAAAAGAACTGTCAAAAGACCTGCGTAAGAAGGTAATGGAACTGTATAAAGATGGAAAAGGATATAAAAAGATATCCAAAGCCTTGACTATGCCAGTCAGTGCTGTTCAATCACTTATTACCCACATGGAAGAAAAATATATTTGAAATATATTCAATGAGTTTGTTAGCTCTTACGTGGATTCACTGTGCCATGGGGAGCAGAAAAGAACTGTCAAAAGACCTGCGTAAGAAGGTAATGGAACTGTATAAAGATGGAAAAGGATATAAAAAGATATCCAAAGCCTTGACTATGCCAGTTCAATCACTTATTACCCACATGGAAGAAAAATATATTTGAAATATATTTTTAAAATATTCTTCCCAAATATATTGACATATATTTGAAATACTACAATTTTGGCCACATTCAATATATTTAAAAAAAAATATATATAATATATATATATATATATATATACTGTATGTTGAAATGCATTTTTATTGCAAAATATATAAAATCTATTTTTAAAAATACATTCTCAAATATACTGCATGTCTTTAAAAATACATTTAATCTATATTTTTGGAATGCATTTACAACTATATGTAAAAATATGTTAAAATTACTTTTTTGCATGGTAAAAAAAATCTTATAAAATATATATTTTTAAAAATATTTTTCATATATTTTGTAATATATAAAAAAATGCATTTCAACATGCAGTGTATATATATATATATATATATATATATATATATATATATAGCTTGCATATGGACAAAATTGTAGTATTTCAAATATATGTCAATATATTTGGGAAGAATATTTTTTAAATATATTTAAAATATATTTTTCTTCCATGTGGGAAGGGACGGTGTTCAGAGGGTGGGTAGGAGGCGGAGACAAAGGGTGATTCAGAAAGGGGGAGTTCCTGCACCTATTCTCTGAGAAAGAAAGCTATATATATATTTAAATTTATGGGTCTAAGTTTTACTGATGTTCCTTCAAAACCAAGAAAATATTTGTTGAGAGTAACAGAGCACGTGAGCGCCTGAAAAATCCTTCCTGTTGTGATTTCGGAAGCAGGTACCTTTACTGAGCAAGCCCAGAAGTTGTCTATCAGGTCCAGGGGCGGACTGACTACTCATGGAGCCCCCGGACAGTAGGGGATCATGAGGCCCCTGTGTTCCTTGCCCAAACTCAATAAAAGCCTATGAAAAAGGTACCAGGGGCATCTCATGGGGCCCCTACTGACCCGGGGCTCTCGGGCAGTGCCCGGGTTTCCAAATGGTCAGGTCTCAGTTCTGCACATGACCAGAGGCATGGTGAGGGCACATGCGTGTTGCCAACAAGGACCACTTTAATTGTCCTCCTAAGGACGGAAGGGTCCCTGGTTGGCTGGTTGTGAAGCCAAATGAGATACGAGAAGGTGTTCCCAACTCACCAACCATGGAGGTCTCTCCCTCTCCAGGATATCACCAGCTTTGGGATGTCATTGGCAATTTTCCCATCTGGAGTCATCAGATCATCCTCCATTAGCCCATTAAAGTTTCCACAGGCCCCGCAGAGGGCTTCCGATATTCCGGAGACAGTGACCTTCAGCTCTCCACCGTCACTCAGCTCCACCCTTAGATTCGGAGTGATCTGAACAACGATAACTGTGGCCTTTAGGCTGATATTTATCATCCCGGACACCTTGACTGGAAAGAGGCATTATACGTCCATTTCACCTACAGAGATGGAAAAGCTGCATTAAATCCACATATTGCAAGAAAACCATGCAAATTTACAAATAAAATTTTCTGTTTTTCCTTTTCTCTTGCCGTCCCCCCTAAAGCTGTGTTCTTCTACGGCCTCCTCATCTTACAGTTCCATTCATATACAAGAAGAAACATCACCGACACGGCTCCTGTCCTGATCAGGACTTTAACATCTTCTCCTAAAGATGAAATCTGGGGTGCCTGATACCAAAGCTCACCCCACTCAGAGGACTTTTTGAAATGTTTATTGGTTAAGAGCGTTCAAAAAATTCCAATGCATTTCGGAGGAAACGCATCAAAGATGAACTCCACCCACATGAAAGAAAAACATATTTGAAATATATTTAAAAAATATTCTTCCCAAATATACTGTATTGAAATATATTTGAAATGTTACAATTTTGTAGTATTCTGAAGAATATATTTTAAAAAAAAATTATATATATAATTAAACATATTTATATATACACGCACACACACACACACATATATATATATATATATATATATATATATATATATATATATGTTTAACTGTGTTTTTATATATTACAAATTATTTGAAAAATATTTTTCAAAACATATATTTTTAACATATTAAAAAAAGTCATTTTAACATATATTTTTGCATATATTTGTAAATGCATTCCCAAAAATGCAGATTTGTATTTTTAAAGACATACAGTATATTTGAAATGTATTTAGAAAAAATATTTTTCATATATTTTGTAATACAAACATATTTCACCATGCAGTATATATATATATATATATATATATATATATTATATATATATATATACACACACACACACACACATATATATATAAATATATTTTGAAATATATTGAATATGGCCAAAATTGTAGTATTTCAAGTATATATATATATATATATATAATATATATATATATATATATATATGTATATATACTGTATGTTGAAATGTGTATGTCTTTAAAAATACAAATCTACATTTTTGGAATGCATGATACAATGACTTTTTTGTATGTTAAAAAAAAATCTGAAGAATATAATTAAAAATAAATGTTATATATATATATATATATATATATATATATACTATCTATCTATCTTTCTATCTATCTATCTATCTATCTCTATCTATCTATCTATTATCTATCTATCTATCTATCTATCTATCTATCTATCTATCTATCTATCTATCTATCTATCTATCTATCTATCTATCTATCTATCTATCTATCTATCTATCTATCTATCTATCTATCTATCTATCTATCTATCTATCTACTATCTATCTATCTATCTATCTATCTATCTATTATCTATCTATTATCTATCTATCTATATCTATCTATTATCTATCTATCTATCTATCTATCTATCTATCTATCTATCTATCTATCTATCTATCTATCTATCTATCTATTATCTATCTATTATCTATCTATCTATCTATCTATCTATCTATCTATCTATCTATCTATCTATCTATCTATCTATCTATCTATCTATCTATCTATCTATCTATCTATCTATCTATCTATCTATCTATCTATCTATCTATTATCTATCTATCTATCTATCTATATCTATCTATCTATCTATCTATCTATCTATCTATCTATCTATCTATCTATCTATCTATCTATCTATCTATCTATCTATCTATCTATCTATCTATCTATCTATCTATCTATCTATCTATTTCTATTTATTAATATATTCTTCTGATTGTTTTTAACATATAAAAAAGTCATTTTAACATATATTTTTACATATATTTGTAAATGCATTCCAAAAATGCAGATTTGTATTTTTAAAGGAATACAGTATATTTGAAATGTATTTTTAAAAATATTTTTTCATATATTTTGAAATGAAAATGTATTTCAACATGCAGTATATATATATACAGTTGCAAGAAAAAGTATGTGAACCCCTTGGGATTACGTGGAGTTTTGCATGAATTGGGCATAAAATGTGCTCTGAACGTCATCTAAGTCACAACAATAGAAGAACACAGTCTGCTGAACATAATACTACACAAACATTAGATGTTGCCATGGTTTAATTGCACATAACATGTAAACATTCACAGTGCAGGGAGGAAAAAGTATGTGAACCTTTGGACTTAATAACTGGTTGACCCTCCTTCGGCAGCAATAACCTCAACCAAACGTTTCCTGTAGTTGCAGATCAGACCTGCACAACGATCTGGAGTCATTTTGGATCACTCCTCTTCACACAAAACTGTTTCAGTGTAGCAATATTCTTGGGATGCCTATTGTGAATCGCTCTCTTAAGGTCATGCCACAGCATTTCAATCGGGTTGAGGTCAGGACTCTGACTGGGCCACTCCAGAAGGCGTATTCTGTGCTGTTGCAGCCATTGTTTTGTTGAATTACTTGTATGCTTTGGGTCATTGTCCTGTTGCATCACCCATCCTCTGCGGAGCTTCAGTTGGCGGACAGATGGTCGTACGTTTTCCTGCAAAATGTCTTGATAAACTCTGGAATTTATTTTCCCATCAATGACAACAATCCGTCCAGGCCCTGAGGCAGCAAAGCAGCCCCAAACCATGATGCTCCCTCCGCCATGTTTCACAGTGGGGATGAGGTTTTGATGTTGGTGTGCTGGGCCTTTTTTTCTCCACACATAGTGTTGTGTGTTCTTCCCAAACAACTCAATCTTGGTTTCATCTGTCCACAGTATATTTTGCCAGTAGTGCTGTGGAACATCCAGGTGCTCTTTTGCAAACTTCAAACGTGCTGCAATCTTCTTTTTGGACAGCAATGGCTTCCTCCGTGGTGTCCTCCCATGTACTCCATTCTTGTTTAATGTTTTCCTTATTGTAGATGTGTCAACAAAAATGTTAGCATGTGCCAGAGATTTCTGTAGGTCTTTAGCTGACACTCTGGGATTCTTCTTTACCTCATGCAGCATTCTGCGCTGTGCTCTTGCAGTCATTTTTACAGGACGACCACGCCTAGGGAGAGTAGCAACAGTGCTAAACTTTCTCCATTTGTAGACAGTCTGTCTTACCGTGGACACATGAACATCAAGGCTCAAGGAGATACTTTTGTAACCCTTTCCAGCTTCATGCAAGTCAGCAATTCTTGATCATAGGTCTTCTGATAGCTCTTTTCTGCGAGGCATGGTTCACATCAGACAGTGCTTCTTGAAACCAGTAAACCCAAAACAGGTGTGTGTTTTTTAAGGGCAGGACAGCTGTCAGCAACACATCCAATATCATCACACTGATTGGAGTCAAGGTTGGCTCACTCCTGGCTCCAATTAGCTCTGGGAGAAGTCATTAAGCTAGGGCCTCACATACTTTTTCCTCCCTGCACTGTGAATGTTTACATGTTATGTGCAATTAAACCATGGCAACATCTAATGTGTGTGTAGTATTATGTTCAGCAGACTGTGTTCTTCTATTGTTGTGACTTAGATGACGTTCAGAGCACATTTTATGCCCAATTCATGCAAAACTCCACGTAATCCCAAGGGGTTCACATACTTTTTCTTGCAACTGTATATATATATATATATATATATATTTATTTATTTATTGAAATGTAGTTTGAAATATACTGAATATGGCCAAAATTGTAGCATTTTAAATATATTTTCTTCCAAATGGGTAGAGCCTGACATTACCAGAAATGTTAGATGCAACTTCTATATGCAGCAACGGAGTCACTTTAAAGTATAGTTACCTTTTAACCCAGTCATGCGGCAAGTGAAAGCTTTCACTGCATTACTTACCCATACTTCCTTGTTTTTGGAGATCGTCACAATGCCAGTTGCAGAGAAGACATGGATCCTGACTACCGCTTGGATATTGGTGCCACAGCTCTGCACATCGGCCACAACTCTGAACCAAGTGTCACTGTCCACGTTGCAGATGGAGACCACCACGACGGGACCGAGAGGCACAGGTCCTCCTAATGTCCCATCAAAAGTAATGAAGGTGTTAGCCTTGATCTGGCAATCGCTTTGTATATCGTAGCAGTTGCGCGCTCCATTGAGGATTAGGCAACGCTTGTCGCTCTCACATGCCATGGGTTTGCAGAGCACCCCTCCGTTTTGGCACTTGCAATGTTGGGTGCAGTCTTTGTTAATGTAGGATTCACCAACCTGAAGATAACAAATAACAAAAAAATGGTGAACCTTGACAAAGAACCTCCATTACCTGCTCCAATTTTGTCTGTTCAATATATCTTTGATTGAAAGCATTCAACGAGTGTAAAGAGATATCCAAAAAATGAAACCAGTGCTCAAATCTTCATGCTGACTAGGGGTACTGTCAGGGTCCTGTCCACGGCAGAAGTTCTGGAAGATCTGACATTTCTGCCAGTACTTTGCATGGCCGCAGAGGTACACATCAGCCTCAGTCTGGTGCCAGATGGCCTTTATAAGGAGGCTCATCACTTCCTCTGGTTGCTGGATGATCTCTAGCTCCCCGTGCCCTGTTTCTGGTTCCTGTTATTTTGACCTGTGATTTCCTGTTACCGACTCGGCTTGCTTCTGGACCTGTCTACTC